GGCATGCACCGTGCGCCGCACACCACGCACGACACACACTCCAATCCACGGCAGCAGGCACACACACACACAGCCCTGCCGCAACACCAACACACAGATGGAGGAGGGAGAAGCAAACAGGAGCGGCACACAAGGCTCCACCGCATGCACACACGGCGAGAGCGGTCCGTCGTGTCGGCACCCTTCACGGAGGGTACGCACACACACAAGAGGAATAGGCGCACACAGCAACAGAAAGGCAAAGTAACACTAATAAGAAAAAAGAAGATCCTTGCGCAACACGTGAATTGTTGGTCCACGGGAAGTGCAGCCAATATTCATCACAAAAGCAATTCATCTTTCTTAGGCCTTCGTTCATATTCAGCGCAAGGAATGGAAGAGTGCAGGAAACTATTTGTTTTTGTTTCTTTTTGAATGTTGGCAGATGTACGCAACTTTCTTTTTTTTTTTTTTTTTTTTTTTGCAGAGGGCAAACCTTCATGCCTGGGTCGTGTGTTGAGGATTTCCGCAGGGTGCACAATTATCTGTTTTCTCTTGTGAATGTTTCTTGTGTTGGTGCAGCCAATAATTCAGTTTGTGTTGTTTCTGCCTTTCGCTGGTAAAGTGCTGCAATAGATGTTTGTTTTTCCCTTCGTTGCTGTGGCACCTGATTCCTCACCGTTTATTGCGGTGGAAATGAAAATATGTGAGTGGACTCCCACGCACCAAAACGCACCTTCGCTCCTATTTATTGGTGCACGGAAGGGCATGTGTGTTTGGTGGTATCTCGGCCATATATTTTGTGGGCGTACATTCCCCTGCAGGCTGAGGGCGGGGTGACGCTCCGTCGCGGTGCACTTCCCTCGCAGGCCGCCCACTGTGATTCATCATGCATCACCCCCTCACGTACTCCGTGGTGCCACACCGCTGATATTATTGCAGCCGCTGTGATTCCGCGCATTTCACGCACTTGATTGCGCCACAATACATCCACTCGTGTGGCCGCCGCACCCAAACAGCGGTGCCCAACACCGTGAGCGGCAGTCCACATCCTTGCATGTCCCAACGCTGTGGTGTTTGACTGTCAGCCAGGCGTCAGACAACAAGAGAGTATTGTGCCGGCAGTACAACACACGGAGCTGCAGTGAATGACTCGGGCGGCGACGCATCTATTTGTCGCAAGGCAGTGAAAAGGAGTCGGGCAAAATAATGCCGGCTGCATTCACGACACCACATCCACAGCCAAAGCATGCGACGTGATGTGTGTTTCGCTGGTGCTGTGAAATGCCTGCAGACGACGTCACTAGTGGAGGCATGCCACCCATGATCAGCGGAAAAACAATAATCGGCATGGGATGCCACAAAAGGCAGCAACGACGCCAGCAGCAGGAGCAGCTCTCTCTCTCGCTATCTGTTGCCTCCGAGAAGTAAATATTCCACCAGCCACAGCTGACTGTGCCATCGTGACACTCCATGCACGTCGTGGCTGCGTCAACACATCCTGTTCCCTGCAGCGCCTCGAAAGATGCCTCACTCCGTCCACTAAGTGCATCGATGCGGGCCGTGCCTGGGCTGTTCGTGAGGACCACAACGATGTGAGGGTCACCGAGTCGCAGCATGTTTGCTGTGACGTTGTTGCATGGCACCTGCACACACACACACGACGCCTGCGTCCCTCCCTTTTGTGTCCGCCCTCCGCCGGAGTGGCCACACACGCGGGCAGCAGCAAAATCACTTCACCCTCGACGATCCAAAATCAACACCGACATCCCTCGCAACGCAAACATCTCAGCTGCCAGCACGGGCTTCCTGCCGCTCTGCCATCGACGCTGAAACACGGCACAGTGCACGCACTTATTTTCCTCGTGTGCAGTCAGCCGTTTGCTTCACACATTCCTCGATGGGCTGACGTCCATAAAAGCACGCCACAAAAGGCCACTGTGATCGCACAAGCTCTTGCGATGAGCGTCTGCGTGTGCTTGGATCCGCTGCTCACACGTGCTGGCAGGCAGCCTGCAGCCGGTGCCCTCGTGCCACTTCATCGGCTCCAGCACGGAAAAGAGAAAATGGCCCATTCCCGATGCACTTATTCCCACCAGCAGCACCAACACGCTGGTCGCCCGCCGTCATTCCTCAGCACATCCAGGAATGCCGAAAGGTGGCGTGGAACTGTCAGCCAGCAACGCCACAATCCCGCACACATGTCGGCTCCACCAGAGAGGACACACAAACCACAAAAAACACCTCCACATGATTTCCGAACATCATTCCGACACACCGCGACACGCCAAACAGAAGTATTCGTCACTCCATGCACCTCCCCACACAATCACATAGTCCATGCATCACGCACGGCAGCAGCTCACACGCGGTCAAACAAATGTTCCCCGGATCATTGTTATCCACGTGCTGCAGTGGGAAGTAAACAAAAGGGACAGCTGCCAAACCCCAAAAGAGTGCCACGACTGGCCGCAATTCAACGAAACGCAGCCACTCAAATGAATTCAGTCCTCGTGCCCTCAGCCTCCCACTTTCTCCCACAAAAGGCCCAAAAGCTACCAATCAAACGCACCGTCCAATAAATTCGCTGTGCGACAAAAAGGAGAAACCGCAGTACCTCCTGCTGTAATCCAAAACAGTGTTGTTTGCTGATTAATGCGACAGGCACTCACCTGCTCCTCAAAACGACGCTGCGCAACTGCAACGTATTCTTCAGAATCGCAAGTCTCCAACCAGTTCGGGAAGCTCCTACGCACCTTCGTCACACACCACAATGCAAATGAAAAAACAATGCTTTAGTTGGACTGCGATGCGGACCGTGCCACGCCGCCATCAGCTGCGGCTGGATGCAGAGGCTGGTGCGTCCCGGCACACCACGCGATCCCTTCTGGTTGGGTGCTTCCACAGTGCGTTGCATCACAGCGGCGAGGCAATCGCACCGTGTCCGGACCACGCGCATCAAAGAAGGATACTTCTGTCCACCTGGCCGCCAATCCAGCACCGCTGCGGAGGATCATTGGGTGTCGCGCACCCTCACAACACCAACGCCTTACACTTCTCCGATGTATTGAGGACGTGTGTGGCGCAGTCTGATTGGAGGCCATGCCGCCGTCCATGCATGAAAAGCGGCGACATCGATCCCGCTTCCGAGAGATGCTGTTATTAATGGATTGCGCCGCGTATGTAATACTATTGGGACACCCTACAGCCACAATCGTGCTCCTCCTATTCAACATCGTATTTTCCCCTGGGACACTGTGCGTTGCAATAGAGTGGAATTTATCAGCCACGCTTTGCCCAAGACGCCTCTGACGACGTCAAGCGCACGGCTCTTGATTCTATTTACTCCTCCCTGGGAGCGTATGATTTTGAATTATGGACAGACGTTTCTTCGTCTCTCGCCGAGCTCGCATCTGGATCCGCTGCACTATTGTATGGCTCCACCACAACAAATGATCTCCCTGTGGAGGTACATCGTGCAGCAGCTGGCAGGCTCGCACGCTCATATAGAGCAGAGTGCCTTGCCACTGAAAATGGCATTAGACATCTCATACCTTTTGTCTGGAAACATCCCAATCGCCCACACGAATCCTGGTGGCAACGGACTCCCCGTCGAGAACTGAGGCACTCCGCGTCGTTCCACTGGCCGTGCGAGGCTACGTTACTGAAGAGATTTGGATTATGCTGCTCTCCTTGATACAGCGAGGTCACTCTGCAAAATTCAAGTTTTCTCCATCGCACCGCGGTATCTCACGCAATGAGGCCGCTGACGACGAGGCCATGATTGCACGATCCCTCCCGCAGGAGGGCGGCCCAATCTGGCACGTGGACTTTTTCACTGCAGTCAGGTGACCGTACTGGAGGGATGCCTAGAAGAAAAGGAGGGCGCGCACACCGCATGGCAGGCGCCTGTCGGTGTGGCGAGGACTCTATTCCTGGCACGGCCCGGACATCGTGCCCCGAGAGGCGGCTCTGCGCAAAGGCACGGTGCGATTCCCGCCCACTCTTTGACATGCCTGCGCGTGCCCTCCGTATCACAAGTAACCCTCTGTGTCGGTGGTGCCGTTCCTCCCTCACTGAGGAGACTGGCCCGCCGCTGCCTCCGCCGTAACCTCTTCCCGACGTGAGCACCGCAACTCCTTGCCGACCAGCGAGCGGCGGATTGATGTCCTCCCGCCCAACCTGCAGCAGAGTCTGCGCTCGTCCGTCCACAATATGAGGGCACATGCCCGACGTGCTCAGCCTGGCGTTCCGATAGTTGGAGAAGGCCTCCCATGCGGATGCCGCAATGGCGCCAGCGTCTTCTTAACAGGCGCCTCGCGCACAGGTCACCACAGAAAGTGCCAAGCACGCCAGCAGGCAAGGCACGCAGGAAGCACAACCGCGGGTACTCGAGATGGACCACGAAAGACTTCGCTTCATCCACTGCAGAAATGCCCTCGTCGTTGGGAACTGGGAATGCGAGTGTTTGGGAGTGCCCCATCCCGCACGACGGCACGTTTCGGACGGAATGCTTGCCACTTTTTAAGGACGACTCTTGCGCTACTCACTTGTTATTGTAACAGCATACAGCAAAAACAAGATAACAAGTTGCTTTGCGATGAATATTGGCTGCAATTCCCGTGGACCAACAATCCGCGTGGTGTGCGGGGATCTTTCCTTTTTAATTGTTACTATGCTTTTGTGTTGCTGTGTGCGCTGCACCTCCTCTTGTGTGTGTGCGTACTCTCCGTGAGGGGTGCAGGCACGACTGACCGCTCTCGCCGTGTGTGCGTGCGGTGGAGCCTTGTGTGCCGCTCCTGTTTGCTTCTCCCTCCTCCATCTGTGTGTGTGTGCCTGTTGCCGTGGATTGGAGTGTGTGTCGTGCGTGGTGTGCGGCGTACGGTGCATGCCTGGCTGCTGCCCTCGCCTCATGTGGTGTGCCCTCTGTGTGTGTCTGCCGCACCTCTCGTCTCCCCTGTTGCTCTCCATGTCCCTCACTGTGCAGATCAGCTCCACACCACCGAACGGCCACACTCACGATGATGATGACGTGCCGTCTGCTGTGCGCCCTGTTGGTGCTCGCCCTGTGCTGCTGCCCGTCCGCATGTGTGATGGCGAGTGAGAGTAAACCTCATGAAGATGCGGATTTATCTGGAATTCGGCCACAATTGCAAGCTATCGCCGATAAGGGACAGGGTTCAGGTGCAGGCGCTGGTGCGTTGCAGACGGAAAATGCGCTGTCGTGTGCGGAACAGTATTCAAAAGAAAAGCCATGTCAGCTAAATGGATTATCTAATACGGCTAATGCGGGACAGGATGGAAACAGAGTTGTTACGGAAATAAAGCCAAATACGACGAACACGACTACGACAATGGTAATACCACCACAACCAACATTACCACAAGCCGTAGCAGCAGCTCCAGCAGCATCAGAAGAAAGAAGCCTAGCGCTACAAGAACTGCCTGGGGTACTACCACTACCACCAACATCAACACTACCATCACCTGAGCCGTCGCCTGCGATGACCGTTTCAGCAAAAGAAACAATCCCAACAGCATCAACAGGCTCACAGAATACAACAGAAACAACAAACACGACGCCATCGTCACTCGCTAAAACGGCGCCTGAAGCACCCAAAAAAACTTCAGGGGATGGTGCGCCAAACCAACACAGAGAAGACTCAGAAACACCAGATTCCATGAATAATGCAAATACAGGCAGTTCGGCGGAAACAACAGCAACATCGTCCACCTATACAAATAGCAGTACTGATGTAAAGAAAAATGAGGGTGAGGATGAGAACGACGCCCACCGGCCTCACAGCAAAGCACCACAAGAAAACCCCGAAGACAGTAACACACACGATGCTCCTAAAGCAAATGAAACTGCAGCACAAACACCACAAACAGACACCGTCGCCCAAACAAATACTACATCTAATTCTGTCGACAGTGACGGCAGCACCGCGGTCTCCCACTCCACCTCCCCTCTTTTGCTTCTTCTTCTTCTTGTTGCGTGTGCGGCTGCGGCTGCGGTGGTGGCCGCGTGAGAGTGAGGGAGAGAGAGCCGTGCACCGCCCGCACACACACTCGTCCTTCTCTCTCTGTGTGTGTCCCCTTGCATGGACTCTCGCCCTCACCTCACCCCACGAGGCACACACAATAATGTGCCCATTGTATATATGCATGCACACCCATGCAGGCCCGTTGGTGCTCTCTTTTGCACGACACGCACCGCTGCCGTCCTGCCTGGCTGCATGGGCGGAGCACCGTAACTGTTTCTGTTTTGTTTTTATTGCATTGAGTGGGCGACCTCTCTCTCTCTCCCTCTGTGTGTGTTTTGCTTTACGGGAGTAATGAGAGTGTGTGTGCGCTGGTCGTCCCACGCTTCGGCTTTTTGTTTTGTTTTTCTTTTTGATTTTGTGGTTGAGTGCACCCATTCCGCGGCTGTGTGTGTGTGTGTGATGATATGGGTAATTTGCGTGTGTGCTATCTGCCTCTCTCTGCCGTTGCTTTCTTCAGACTCTCTTGTGCCGCACAGCTGCTCTGCAAGTATAGGCGCTGCCAAACACACATGCACACACATGCACATGCCATTTTTTACACAATTTGGCTGTGGTGGCTCTTGCGGGGATCGAGGGTGTGAGCTCGCCGTGCGTCCCCTGGACTTGCTGCGGTTGTGGTGTTGGCGACGTGCAGCAGTTGACTAAAGTGGTTTGGCATTGAGGGCGCCTGGGGGAGTGAGCATGGATTCTTGCCAAGCAGCTGCACATGCCGACGTGTTTCTCTCGCTGTTCATGCACCCACGAAGGATTCTCTGGCTGTGCGGGGCGATGTGCGATGGATGGTGCGGGGAGAGACAGCAGTAAAACGACTGGCGGCAATGCACGTGTGGGCGTTGCTCTGTGTGTGCTGGCGCGTGGCAGAAGCACAAGGTACCCGCTGTGGCTTTTACTGCTGGTGGCAGTCGCTGTGTGTTCCCGGTGCACTGTTTTTCCTTTCTGTTCCGTGTGTCTGTGTGCGTGAGTTGTTGTTGTTGGGAGTGACTGCGGCGGGGATGATGGTGCCACTCACTGTGGATGGGCGGCGGTGCTCACTGTTGTACCTCTTTTTTGTTGCTTGTTTTTCATTTCTTTTCTCACTCACTTACGAAGAAAGCAAACAGGCGCTAATCGCTACTGTGAAATTGTAAGGCACTGAAAGGACCAACAGCACACACCGCCCGCACACAACTATTTATATGCTCTCACGTGTTGCTGCAGTGATGGCACTCCGCACACACAACCATCGCCGCGTGACCGGATCCGGCGGAAGGAGGAGGGAAGGAAGAGAGAGTGAGCCGCAGAGGCCCAACATGTCCCGGAGTGTGTTTGCTTCCGCGGTGCTGCTCCTCCTTGTCGTGATGATGTGCTGCGGCACTGGTGGAGGTGCACAAGCTGCGGAGCCGTCGTCTGGTCCAAAGTTTAAATGGAAGTACATCACCGAGGGTGGTGTTACTGTGGAGTCGTTGGATGCTCCCGGCCTTTTGAAAGTGGGGAGTGATGTGTTTGCCGTTGCCGAGGCGCAGTGCAAGAACAATGATAAGAGCGTCTTTACTGGCATTGCATCCCAACTACTCACGATGGATAAGGATAAAGAAAAGGAGGAAGTGATGAAGGATGCCAGAGTGACACAGTTTCTGGAGGAAGACACTTCCGAAGGCCCAAAGAAGAAAGTAGATGTGAGCCGACCAACAACAATTGTGAAGGGAAGTGATATTTACATGCTTGTTGGAAAAAACAGCCGGAAAGATGCCGTTCCTGATGATCAGGCAGGTGAATGGGGACTTTTGCTGGTGAAAGGGAACGTCAGTGAAGAAAGTGGCGGTGGCAAAAGAATCAAATGGAGCGATGCCAACGCTGTTCCGCGGACAACTGTTCGCGAACTAGATTTGTGGACAGAGTTAATTGGCGGCGGTGGATCGGGCATTAAGATGCATGATGATACGCTTGTGTTCCCCGTGGAAGGCACGAAAAAGGAGGGTGAAAAGGCCGTATCGCTGCTCATATACACCTCCGATAACGCTGCGAGTTGGAAGCTGTCGAAGGAGGTTCCTGACGGTGGCTGCAGTGATCCCTCCGTTGTGGAGTGGGAGAAGGACAAAAAACTCATGATGATGACTGCGTGTGATGATGGCCGCCGCAGGGTGTACGAGTCCGGTGACAAGGGGGATTCGTGGACGGAGGCACTCGGGACACTCTCGCGCGTGTGGGGCAACAAAAAGGGTGCAGGAGCGAAGGGCGTTAGAAGCGGGTTCATCACAGTGGCTCTTGACGGTGTTGATAATAAGAGAAATGTGATGCTCGTTACTCTGCCGGTGTATTCCGAGAAGACTGATAAAAAAGAAAACGGAAAGGGAAAACTCCATCTTTGGCTGACGGACAATACGCACATTGTTGATATTGGGCCGGTATCCGATGATGACGCTGCCGCCAGCTCCCTGTTGTACAGAAGTGCTGGAAGTGGAACTAATAAGGAGGAGAAGGAGTTGATTGCACTCTACGAGAAGAAGAAGGGCGCTGAAGACAAACCATCACACAGTATGGTCTCTGTGCGTCTGACTGCGGAGCTGCAGCGTGTGAAGGATGTGCTGGCGACGTGGAAGGAAGCGGACGAAACTGTCTCCAAGCTGTGCCCCTCAAGTGCTGAGAAGGATGGCTCACCTGAAGATGCCTGCAGCCCTACAGTTAAGATCACGGATGGGCTGGTTGGCTTTTTGTCCGGCAACTTCTCTAATGACACATGGAGGGACGAGTACCTCGGGGTGAACGCCACAGTAAAGAAGAAAGATGGGGAAACAGATGATGCAGGGGCAACAAAGACTTCCGATGGTGTGCATTTCCATGGAGCGTGGGCGGAGTGGCCTGTTGGCAGTCAGGGGGAGAATCAGCTGCATCACTTTGCGAACTACAACTTCACTCTTGTGGCAACGGTGTCCATCGACAAGGTGCCGGAGGGAGACACTCCCATTCCTTTGATGGGTGTGAAGATGAATGGTGCAGGGAAGACTGTACTTCTGGGACTGTCGTACAATAAAGAAAGGAAGTGGCAGGTGCTGTGCGGTAACGGAACTTCTACTGAGCTCAGCAGCGGCTGGGAGAAAGAGACACAGTACCAAGTGGTGCTTATGCTACAGAACGGCACCCAGGGCTCCGTGTATGTCAATGGTGAGCGTGTGTGTATGGGTGAGCAACGTGAAATGAGGGACGCAGAATTGAAAGAGATTTCCCACTTCTACATTGGGGGAGATGGAGGGGATGGAGAAAACGCAGACAACAAAGAAGGCGTGTCTGTGACTGTGACGAACGTCCTGCTGTACAACCGCCCGTGGGATGAAGCGGAGATTACTGCGCTTAACCCGAATAAAGCCCCTACTCCATCTCAGGTGAATGAGCCTTCTCAGGGAACCGCGATTCGATCTTCTCCTGGTGGTCAAGGAAAGGAGGAACAGAGACAGTCGTTGGGGAGCAATGGTGTGAACGGTGCATCCGCACCAACAGTGTCCAGTGCCAAGACTTCCTCAGGAGGAGAGGGGCCTGCAATCCCGTTGGCGTCAGAAGAATCTTTCGATGGAAGCAAAAATGTGGGTGTCGGTTCTTTTTCTGATGGCGACCCAACGGTGGAGACGGCGGAAGGAACTGATGCGCAGAAGGAGGAGATCCATGCACAGGTCGGGGAAATGAATGCTGCGGCACTCAGCAGCAGTCTCGGAAATTTGTCGCAGGTGAATAACAGCGATGCCGGCACTGTGTGTGGGAGCGGACTGCTGCCGCTTCTCCTTCCGTTGGGGCTGTGGGTGTTCGCGGCTCTGTGAGGCGTGACTGGCTGCCGCGTGGGACAATTGCGACTTTACCCAGCACCGACACACACGGTAATTAATTTATCTTCTTTAATAACTTTTTTATTATTGCTTTTCCCTGTTTGCTTTCTGTGCGTTTTATATCCCCATTTTTCTTCTTTTTTTTGCTTTTTTGGGGAAATCACGATGGACGTTTTTATTTCTACTCTTCCCTCTTTAATTGTTTGTTGCTGCACTCTTCCTGCGAGGGGTGCCGTGTGTTTCCCGCCCAACTGCTCCACTCGCACACCACCGACACGCTCATGACGACGGCCCTGTGCGCCTCGCCTGCTGCACGCATGAGGAGGGGCCGCGACGAACGGCGCGCTGCGGGAGCCGTGACGTGTGGGCGTGCGACGAGGGCCTGTGGGGCGGAGCACACATTTCTTCCCTCTTGTTTTGTTTTCTTTGCGGCCAGGGCTGGCAGACACCCGCAGCGCCACACACACAGCCACACCCTGCCGCCGTGTTTTTCTTTAAGGATTTGTTTTGCTTCTCGTGTTTATTTCATGCGGTGGCGCACCCTTCGGTGTCGGCCTCGTGAGCATTTCTCTTCCCTCCGATGATTTCTTTTTCTTTTGCTGCGCTCACTCTCCCGATGGAGTGACGCGACTGCCGTCATGTCTGCGTGCTTCTCTCAGTCCCCACACACACGAGTGACTGTGCTCTACGGGCCGCACTCACGCGCCGATGAAAGGGCTGAGGGGAGCAGCAACACGCGGATGACCCCATGAAATATAAACGATGTGCGGACACACGGAGGGTCGGACGGTTGAAAGACATTTAAATATCTTTTTAATTTTATTTTTGGGTAAAATATGCGGACAATTTCTGGAGCAGCTTGGTAGTTAGGTGCTTTTTCTGCGATTTTTTTTCTTTTTTTTTTTACTTTTTTATCATTTGGGTGTGGCCGTAATAAAGGACGACATTTTTCATTTTCTTTTTCTTTTTTTTCTTTCCAAAGTGTGGGGGGTGGAAGGGTTTACATAAGTTTTTATTTATTTATTTTCATTTAATTTTTTAATGAATTGCCGCTGCTTGGGCTGCAGTGCAGTCATGAGTTTGAGCGGTCTTCTTCTTGTTGTTTCCGTTATGCGTCCCCGCTGTACATTTTTGTGCGTCCCTCCGCATACTCTGCTCCCTCTTTTCCACGTCTTTGTTTTGTGTTGCTGCAGGCACACACAACCACACACACACACGATGCACATTGCAGTGGATTTGGATGCTTCTTTTGTAGCGTGTGCTGGCGGTTGCGTGTGGCGGCTGATTCCTCCGTGGGCATGAAGGGAAGGAGGGGAGAGGGAGCGCGCACCGTGAGTCACTCTTCCTGCGACTGCTGTGGAGGGCCGCATCCTTTCGGTGTGCGCTTCTCCGCCGTTGTGCTGTGCGTTTGCGCGTGTCATTTGTTATGCGCGTGTGTGCTGGGCATGTTGTTTTGGACCGTTGGGCGGCTGCCATCTGTCTATGGCGGATTGTGTGAGCAGGCACGTGCGGATGAGGGTCAGGGCGTATGGAATGAAGGAATGGCTTGAGGAAAGGGGAATTTGATTTGGAGGGTGTTTGGACCGGATTCATTTGGCTGCGGTGGCCACATGCACGACGGATGTGTTTCCGCATAATGGGGGAGGTTGCGACAGGGTTTTCCGAAGTGGCCCGTCAATGCAGTTTGGGTTTCGTAGCACTGAGGCACAGTGGTCTTCCTGCAATGGCTGGTGACGGCCTCTAGTAGACCGGTGTATTTATGCTGCTGCTGCTGCTGCTCGAGGAGGCGTAGAAGTGCGATTTGAGGTGAGTGGCAGAAGGGCCACATATCTCGCAGTGATGGTCGTCGTTGGCCCAGCGGGAGCCTCTGAAGATTTTGTTGGATGCAACGTCCTTATGCCCGTCTCCGGATGGCGGCATCCCTGATGCAGCCAACGGACGGGGCTGGGAGCGACGGTGAGACGCAAGCACGTGTGGATGTTCGGAGCGGCCGGCGCACCGCACGCTGAGAGCATGGCACGGTGAGGGCCGGACCTAGAAAAGGGACACCGCGTGGGACGTCAATCTTCACTGCAGCGACCGCCACCGAATTCGGATTTGCTCGCACCTTCTGCGGTCCCTCTTCCCTCACTTCTGTGCCGAGGACTGTGCCGCGGGATCCAGCAGCGCGATGTTTGGCCGCAGGAGCATGGCTCGAACAAATGATTTGTGGGAGGGGATGTGCACTGCGGGGAAAAAGAAAAATGTTGCGAGACGACCACCACGACAAGATCGGAGTGAAGTTGTGTTTTGTCCACTTGCGCGAGGGCAGCGTGCCACCTGGTCGGTTAGGAGAATTATTTTTTTTTGTGTCGTTGTGCTCTCTTTTTATTCCGCTGCGTTTTCTTGCGGACCTGCGAAGGAAGATTTGCAAGAAATTCCTGCGAGGCGTCCGTGCCGTCGTCGGAAAGGCGGATTCCCCCTTGAAAAACGCTACTTTATAAATTTGTTTTGGGCGGGGAGTTCCTGTCGACTCACCGCGACTTTGTTTTGCGGATTTGATGCGTGTGTTTCCGAGCGGTTCGGTCTGTGCTCCCGGCCCACTCGGATGTGGTGTGCGCGTCGACGTGAAGGTGCCTGCCAGCCGTTTTATTGCCTCCCCCGCTGTGGCTGCCGCCGCTGCCTTCTTCCCTTCCTGAGGTCCTGCGGCTTCTTGACAAGATGTTTTGGAGAAGGCGTTGCCGCTCTTATCGTCCATGATATTTTGATTCTGGTGTCGCGGTCAGGAGACATTGAACGAGAGGGTTTGCTGCCCTCTTGTTTTGGCTGTCCTCTCTGCCTGACGGTCAGTTACACACAAGCGTGCTGCTCGGCACCTCAGTCGGTGCTGGCGGGTTTGCTCACAGTTGTCGCTGGCAATCGCATGCGCCAAGTCTTCTCTGCTCCTTTTCAGTGTCGCATTTTTTTATTGATTGACGGACGCCATTCTGTCCGGCGTGCTACATTGATTGGATTGTGTGGGACTGCTCTCTAACGCCATCGGAGAAAGCAGGCCGACTTTTTACGCATTTAATTGCCATCTTGCGCGCACGTATTTTTTTCACATTTTCTGTTGATGTGCACTCAATTAGCGAGGAGTCCGGAGCTATGCGTGCGTGGGATTATTCCTGCCATGTGGACTGCGGGCAACACCGAGGGGCTGCCACTTTGGCCCCGCAGAGTTGTTTTTTTTTTTGCGGTGTTGGCAGGGAAATTCCATGCAGCCTGCTACTGCTGGTGTGTCCCCAAATGTTGTCACCCCATGCGAACAATGTGCTTCAGCGAGTGAGGGGGATGATTGGGTTTGTGTGCGGTCTGATTGTGTTTGCTACTTTGTGCGGGTACGCAACGCTTGAGTGGTGGTAAAATGGAGCGGGACGATGCATGGCTGCGTCTCGCCCATCGTTCACTGCACGATGGTGTGGTGCGCATTGTGGTGTTGACTCTGCGATGTGGCTGCGGTCTCCTGCGCGGCGATGGTGGTGGGTGGAGGAGAGTGTTGACCCGCGGCGGGACGGTGGGATCGTGCCTCCTTTTCTCTTTGTTCCTTCCCTTTTGTGAAGGTGTGCACTTATTTTTGTGTCGGTGATGGGGCAAACAGAGCGACAAAGTAAATAAAATAAAATGAAAAAGGGCGATAATGTGGCGGTGTTGGGGTTGGTTGCACGCCTCGCGTTGCTGCGGGGGCGGTGGGCCTCGACTGCTTCACCGACAGGCGTTGCAGTGCGGCTGCATGACGCACCGACCGCCCCGCCGTGCGAGTACCACGCCCAACGCCATTGGGACAGCGGGACGAAACAGCCGCGAGTGTTCTTTGGAGCCAGCGGCACCTGCTGGCCGCAGTTGGGCGGTGCGAGTGGGATGCTTCACCGCACGGGTGTTGTGATGGCACCTCGCCGTGGCTCTTGTGATGGTTCCGGCGCTGCAGCTCGACATGTGGGGTGGCGGGGAGTAAAGTGTAGCCGCAGTGGACCATGAGTAGCACCAACATGGAGCTGAGTGATTTCCTTTGGAATTATGTTGGCGGCAGGACGGCTGTTGGTGAAGACCACAACGTGACGATGGAGGTGTTTGTTCAGGAGCCGGATGATTACGTACAAGACCAGCGGCCTCTTGAAGAAATTCTTAACTTAACTGCGTACCAAGCGCTGGAGGCCATTACTAAGCCTCTTCACGAAGGTGTGCTCTCTCTCGAGCAACGGAGGGAATATGAACGAGAAGGGTACGATCACTCCTCTTGCAAGAAGAACACCAAACGGGGTACTCACGCAGATACTGACAGAAGCGAGGTGGGAGGCAGAGGAAAGGCTAAGAGGAACGCAAGAAATGAAATTTACCATTTCCGCCAATATCGAAGAGGTACTGTTTAAGGGAAGAGTTCACGTCAATGAAATGAGGCTGAACGACTTTCTTACGAGGGAACTGGACGGCAGGGGCATTGTGGACACCAATCGGGATGTCTTGCTGGAGGAGTTTTTCAGGACCCCACGAAGTATATCCGTGATAAAGGAGCGTTGAACGAAATACAGGCATCGGGTCGTTTTTTGAGTATGAAGCGAGCTGTGAAGGGTGAAGTGATCTTTGATGAGGATATACGCGAGCTTTGCGATAAGGGTGTCGACAATCCACCGGGGTGGTCATTGGCTGCTGCGGAGGTAAAAGCAGCTGTTCATAACTCCAATAAACATTTCTTGGATGCAGCTGCCGAGGAGGCGAGGAACCCAACGACGACGAGCGCACCGGAGAAACTGGAGGGATTGTACGAGTCTGTGCACAATGCGAGTTGGAGCCATGTGGTGGAACTTCCGGACGGCGTGGAGCGAAAGAAAACGGGGACGGGAATGGAGGTGCGTGAGGGGAGGCCAGAACAGTCATGGTCGTACAAGAAAGCTGACGACGCTATCGAAGAGAATGACGCTGTGCAGCAATTCGGTGCAGCACCTCCCGTGCTGATGGTGCTTGCCTCGGAGAAGGGA